CTGGGTGACAGCAGCCCCTGGATGACAGCCCCTGGTGCTACTCCGGGAACAGCCCTGGTACAAAGCGATGACTTTGGCCCTCGGTGTTGCGGGGCGCAGGGTTTGGGTTTTGGCATGTTTGAGTGTCGCCAGTCTCTTGGCCCCCTAAAGTTTTGTAGGGAGATGTGGAGACTCTTCAGATGCTAATAGATTCCTCATTTTTCTATGTTTTATTCCAGTCACAGAGGACATGGGGGCATCTCATACAGGTAACTCTCTCGTGCAATCAGCATTTCAGCATAATCAGGGGAAACTTGCTGAAAAGCCAGTCTTCCTGTTGCTTCCAAGTTGTTTAATCCCATCCAGTTTGAACATAGCTGTGCTTTTTAGCAGCTGTCAAAGAAAAGCGCTTGACTTGGTTCCCAAGGGAAGTTCTTCAGGTTTTTTTCTGGAGGAAAGCCACCCTGAGGTGTCACGGCTTGAGCAGCTGTGAGTGAATGCTGTTCACTTAACAGATCACTCATAGCATGTCTGACAATGCGGGTGGGCGTAACAAGGGCAAACTAAATTTGTTCTTGTTTCCTTGATTTTTTTTTTAATTTTTTTTAGGAATACCTGGATATTTGTAATGGCATATGGTCTTGTATAATATCCTACAGTTATGAGATTGGAAATACAGTGTTCTCCTTTTATTGAACCCAAGTATGTTTAGTCTTTATCAAAACAAAAGAAATTCTGTGTCTTTCCCTGGAGACCTTGTAGTATGGTGTTTTTTGTTTTGGTTTTTTGTTTTGTTTTTTTCAAAGTGAGTGCTGGCCGGCTAGAAAGATGGCCTCAGGCCATCGCTGTTCCTAGTGACAAAAAGAAAACCTCAAAACGTACTGTTGTGAAGAATTTTTGTCTGAAGTCTGTAAGAGTCAGGAAAGTCTTTTTACCTTTCATGAAATTTAAATTTCCTGCTATAAAGGCAGAAACTGTTCTATTCGTAGTAGTGTGTTTTTAATTAAAAGATGTTTTTATGTTTCAGGATGACTCACTTGTAGTGTGGAAGGAGGTGGACCTGACCCGGCTGTCAGAAAAGGGGCGTCGTGATGCTTTGAATGAAATCGTTATCCTTGCCCTGTTGCAGCATGAGAACATCATCGCATACTACAATCATTTCATGGATAACACCACGCTGCTGATTGAGCTGGAGTACTGTAATGGTGAGATCCCTACTCCCTCTTACAAACAGGCAGCTGCCACGTTGCTGAGTCATCCCCCAGCAGAACTTGCAGGGAGTATTTCTGGGGTGTCCTCTGGGGAGCCAAGGTGTGGAGGTGAATTCTGCTGTGTAGCTCCTGAACAAGAGGTTGAGAACCCTTCTGATCGATTTGAGTCTCAGGTGCCAAAGAAAGAAGCCCAGTAGTTAGTGCAGGCAGTAGATGATTTCTCGAGTCTTCTGAGCAGCTGGTGCAGTGGAAGGAGTTACTGGTAGCATACACTTCTAATACACCTTGTTGTGCTCTTTTAGGAGGACAGTAGGAAAAGATCATGAGGATATTCAGGCCTTTCTGCCAGTATAGCATGGGGCTGTTTTTTCCCTAGTGTCACTTAAATAGACCCCTCCGTTTGGCCATTGTAAATCAAAGCTTAAAAATCTACTGGCACAATGCAGTCAGGACTTTTTCCTGCCTTGTACTATCAGGTTCTATGTTTACTATTAAAAAAACCTGAAACAATCCAGTCCTTCTGGTGGTGGCAAAAACTTTAAAATTCCACCTAAGACTAGATCAGATGATATTGTTTGGAGTTTGCAGGGGAAACAGTCCCAGCTGGGATGGAGAGGTAAAAGGATTTGATACGAGGGTCTGAGTTGCAGCTGCTCTTAGAGAGCCGGAAGAGGAGGTCATGTACAGCTAATACTGCTGGAACAGGTTACCTACTAGAACGACAGTGTGGTTCCTATTTGGATGAGTGGGACAGCTCGCCTGGCTAGGTGTCCTTTGTGTGTTTGGCAGTTATGTTAAGCCTTGGCTCAGCAGCAGAAGAGGTTTTTTGGTGGAAAAAGCTATCGCCATGTTGTTATCATCTCAGACAAATTGTTTTCACTGGGACAGGTTGGGGAAGACAATGGAGTTGTGAAAAGTATTTTGAAGGGTGTCAAACACCGTGGTTGGCAGGTTGGCCAAAGCTAGTTTTGTTTTTTGTTCTTAGCAGGGTGGAGTCCAGTGCAAGACATGGGGAATGTTAGCTCTTTGATGCACCATTTATTTTAGGAGTACTCTGTGTGAGTTATTTAGCTGCCCTGAAAAGACTTGGGGCCATTATAAATTCATTGGAGGGCACAGAGAGAACCTGCATAATGCTGATGTCTGTAAATGTTTGTTAATGTCTCTAAACTATTGTTCTACTTTGGAACAATAACCAAGAGATGAGTATGCATTCTTTTTAGGATATGTGCATAGAGGTATTGGTTATCTGAGTCAGGAGCTAACTTGTCTCCTTGTGTAGGATTTTGGTGATGTATTACCTCTCATACTGCTCTTTGGTTCAGAAAAGCTGCAAGAAAGATGGCAGAAAATCAGAGATGAGGAACAGAATTCACTAAAAGCCTGCGTAGTCTGAATGGCTAGGAAAGAGGCTCATAAGAAGAGGCAGAAGTGAACACTTTTGTTAGATTGTGAATATGGAGAGTGATTCATAGATAATTTGCAAATGTGAACATAAGGCAGAAAAAAAAAAAAAGCTGAGAGGTTATAGCAAGGCTAAATGAGAAGAAATTAAGCAAAGGCAATCTTAATTAGAATATCAGAAAAATCTTCCTAACATGGAAGTCTGAAATAAGTCCCCAAGGAGGCAAAGGAACCATTGCGAACTGCTTTGGACATCTACAACTTGACAGGCCGGGCCCATGGAAATCATACAGCAGAAAGCTGTGTTGCACCATACCTGTGGGAATGGGAAAGGGCCTGGTGTTCTGTTAGGACATAATATATGGTAATTGGGAAATGGAATAGCAACAGGATGTGATCAGAGATTTGGGATTTACTGGTAGGATGCTAAGCTGACAGGGAGTCTCACTGTCTGCAGCCCTCAGCATCATTTCTGTTAGCCCTCCTTGATTTTCAGTCTGCTGTCTTGAAACTGTGAGGTGCCCTGAAGAGTCTGCTGGTTTCAAGCTTCTGTTGGTGGTACTGCTGTTGTCAACGCTTTGTGAACCCTGCATCCATGTATTTGGCAAGGCAGATGGAGAGAGGCATGTCAGAGCTGGGCAGTAAGTGGGGAAAGGCAGTAAATTGTGCTTTCAGGGACTACTCTGAAGTTATAATTGCTTCCGTTCTCTTCTTTTTTTTTAAATGTATTATTTATTTATATATAATGCTGAGCAGGAAAATCTCACGTGATTTGGTGTACAGGTTATAAATGTTTACATATCCCAAGAAGCGCCTACAGGTAAAGTAGGGACTGCTAGCCTTACTGATTCACTTTCCAGAGACTATTAAATAGTGGTGTTAAAAAAGAATCATTTCTGCTTAAGCTTAGATATGCCAGTGAAGTTCTTAGATGGAGGAACAACTTAATTGTGTGAGTGCCTGACCAGTTTAAATGAAGAGTGCTGAGGAAGAGCTGTAGTGATTCATCAGATCTCTTATGGGATTTGAGTATTCCCTGCAGTACGTGAGCAGAGTAACTTCTCCCATTAACTAAGATGAACCTCTCTGTCTTTCTCACTCACTTCTAATTACAGGAGGGAACCTCTACGATAAGATTCTGCGGCAGAAAGACAAATTATTTGAAGAAGAGGTAATTTGGACTGGTTTGAGGGAGCAGTGCGAGTGACCTAATGTTCTGGGGATCTGTCTGGTTATCTGAGTATTTATACAACACTTTTTCCATAGTGCTGGTGGGGAATTTCTGTGTATATCTGGGGACTGACATCCTTCCTCTCCTGTTGAATATTGCAAGTATTTATGGACTATTGGAAACTTTTTATTTTGCTTTTTGGCTGTCTACAAGCAGTATAAACTTCCAAGGGAGAAATAATGAAAGAGAGCGCTCAACTGACTTTGATCACCTTATCTTCTTGGCTAACATTTAACTTTAAAACCTCTTTCTGTGTTTCTTCCTGGTTGATACTCAATTTCTCTATCTTAAACATTTTGTAAGTTCTTTTCTGAGTAATTACCTTGAATCTGTCTCACCATAGACTTTTTTTCTTGTTCCTTTTTCTTTTCTTTTTCTTTATTTTTTTAAACTTATTTCTGCTGTCTACTTCTACCTCATGCTGAGGTGCTTAATGATTGCACTTATTTATTTATATAATTACTATTAAGGCCTTCCAGCTTATGGTGAATATTAAATGGTCACAGTTCATATTCCAGAGAGCCCAACTGCAGATCTTTCCCAGGTGGTCATTAGCTGTCATTCGTAAGTCTTTTCACTCATTGAATTCTGTGACACTTGTCAGGACAGACACTAGACACGCTGAACAGCACTAGAACAATCTACTTTTTGGAATATCTTTTCAGAGATTGCCAAAACAGGAAATTCTAAATTTGCATACTCCTGAAAGAGCATCTAAATGGTACAGTCTGGCCCTCTTTCTGTGCCTCTGTGTGACAGGAACATAGGGGGTTTTGGGAGGGGTTTTTTGAGCCTCATGTAAGGCTTTTATTCCTGCCTTTGCAGATGGTGGTTTGGTATCTCTTTCAAATTGCATCAGCTGTGAGCTGCATTCATCGAGCAGGAATTCTTCACAGGTAAGTGTGGCATGCATTGTAGCTAAGATAACCAGTGTGGTTCATGGATGTGAGTGCAGAACCCCTTTGAGTAGCCTTTGCTTCTGTGTTTAAAGCAAGCACTGAGCTTCTCTGCAAAGTGTAGCTGGACTGCCTAGATGTTAAGTATCACTTCTGCAAAGAATTTTTATTGGGCTAGAAACTGTCTTGCGATGAATGTGCAAGAAATTTTGTATATGAAAATGGAATTGCTGTCTTTGATGCCACAGCTTTGTGAACAAAGAGTTAATCCATGTAGGAAGGAAGTTAATTGGTCCTTGATTGCCATAGCACGTAAATGAAAATGATGTTTGCTAACGTGTGTAGGAAGAGCAGTTACCACAGGCCAAAGGTACTTCCTATCCGCTCCACAATTAATAACTTCAAACCAACATGTACGTCCTTCTGTAATTCCTGGAGGCTAACAGTGATGAAGACTTTGCATTGGTGCGTTGCTGTAATATAACCCGGGTGAAGATTTGTCCTGCATTTGGCTGAATCTCATTTCTTCAGCCTGTTATTTAAGGAAGTAATATAGCTCATTAGCTGGTAGTGGTAATTTTGACATTGACTCTTGAGATTTTAATGAGAAACTAATGACCTTTTTCTGTTGTCCTTTTCTGTTTGGGAGGGGTAAATTTCATGGCTTATGTGTGCTTCAAGGAGGCCATGATGTTCTGGGGAGTACCGCACACGTAGACAGCTGTTTCTAGCACGGTTGGATCGTGTCCTGCACAGCATCCTTCTCTAACTAATGAGCATAGCTGTGTGTGGATGTTTTCTGCGGGAAGGCATCCTAATTGCTGCCATTCTAAATCTTTGGTAATTGGCAAGCCTTTCCAATGAAGGGTTGGTACCCCACACTCAACAAAGTAATGTCTAAGTTTTTGACCTAAAGCAGATGTCACGTCTGTCCTGCTTTGCAGTGATTTCCTGCTTTACTACCTCTGTTGCCCCTCTTCACAGCAGGGTTCATGGTCTAGGAACATGTGTGGCCCCAAATCCTTCCATAATAATGAATTGAACAGTTATTTAAATGTTTGCAGTGATTTCCTTCTGCTGCAGACATTGTCAGAGTGACCCAGGACTTTGCGATGCCCCAAGTGGATGAATGCAAAGTGCTGCTTTACTTGATGTTGGCCTGATCTACACTGGGAAGTTGTTGATGGTACGTTAGGAAAAAGGGGTGTTACGAAGTGTTGGCCATGGGAAGCATTTCATACTGCGGGGGCTTCCTCTCTGTATTTACAGCCTCTTACATTGATCTGTGAAACTATATATAAATTATTCTGCCTGGGAGAAGGTGTTTTCAATGAATTTTGGAGTTCACCATTTTTGTGGCCATCAGCCTTTTGATCTGGGCATAGTATGTCATGTTATAAAGAGTTGTTCTTCAGGCGCAACATCTGTTTCACACCCTGTGTGTGTGTGTTTATATTTGCATACATACATATTAATGCAGACATTCATATTTTTAGTGAGCTCAGTGACTCGTGGCTTGGGTATGTTTAGAAAACCAGGAAAAATAAGACCTGCTCAATGACCTTCAGAAGAGACTGAGAGGGGGAAAAGAACTATCTTTGATCTGTGGCCTTTACATAGGTGTCTGGAGCCTGAGCTTTTTAGGCTGTGCTGTGTTTGTGTGTGGATGTGATAAAACATGGATAACTGCAGTTACTCCCCCAGTACTTGAAGTCAAATTGCCTTTGGAGAGCTCTGTGTGTGTGAGAGTGTGCTGGCAGAGTAGCAAGTACCTCATTTGGGGGGGGAGGTTTAGTATGTAGAAAACTTGGAAATCTGGAAATATATTTGAATGTCTGCATTTCTTTTTCTCCTTTCAGAGATATAAAGACATTAAATATCTTTCTAACCAAGGCAAACCTGATTAAATTGGGAGACTATGGGTTGGCAAAGAAGCTGAACTCGGAGTACTCTATGGCTGAGACTGTGAGTATCTTGCGCCTTTGTGTGCAAACTGAGATGTGTTTTTCTTTCATCTCTGCATGCCTTGCAGAAGACCAGGGATGCTGTACATTCTTGCTGATTGTTTTCTGTGATTTTTCCTTTCCCTTTCCCCTCAACTTCCCTCAGTGTTATTTCACTAATACTGGCATATTTGCTGGTGCGTTGTAGCCTGCAGTTATCCTTGCTCCCTTGCAGAATCTTTGTAACATGAAGGCAGCGCTATCCGAAGGTACAGAGGCAGCAATATAGTCACATCAGTACAGCAACTCTCCCTCTGGGCTAGTTAAACCCGGCTTAGCAAGTTAAATTTGGTTGTGCTGCTGTGCTAACAGGGACATTTTGCCTCAGTTGGATCTGAGATAGCTTGGATGTGCCTGCCTGGCATTGCACCATGCCACAGATATGTCTCCTATCTCTTTAATACTCGGGTTCTGAACTAAATGACAAAGCAGCAATAAAGGTACTTGTGCTTCTTATGGTAACCAGGTGTATGGTTTATTGGTAATGCTCTTGGAGGGGGGCAAAGCTTTGTAGGAGAGATTAATTCTACCAGAAGGCCATTGAGCTTGGCTTTGTTCCAGACCCTTCCAGAAAGCAGTTTCGCAGCCAGAGTTATGACACAGGGTAAGCTGTATTGCAGGCATCTGAAAGGCTCAGCTTGGATTTCCCAGCTGCATTAATTTTTGTGGTGAGCACTAGGCTTGGAAAGGGAGACGTTGTCTGGAGCTCCTATCTGCTAAAGGCCTTTATTATAGTTTGGGATGCAAGCCAGCTTGCACTTCCCTTACCAGGCCGTATTATTAGATTTAATGCAAGCTATTGGTGTTCTGTTAGGATGTGTAGTTAAATACTTGCCAACCTCCTTCCAGAACATGAGCGCTATTGCGCAGTTGCACAGCAAGTGGGAACTGAAGGCTACTGCATAAAGCCCTCGCTAAGCTGCGCTGCAGCAAAACCACTTCTGTTTCGTCACATTTTTCACGGCCTTCTGGCTTTCAGAGAAAGTGCAGTCTGTGCTATGAATTTCCAGGTTTGTTTTTGCCTGTGTTGTGTGTGTTCATCTACACCTGCGAGCTTGTGAACTTTTTTTTTTCCTTTTTCATTTCTGAAAAATTTTGAATTGCATACCTTCAATCGTATTTCATTCTGTGTACGAATTCAAGTTCAATTTGTGGTCTAATGACCAGTGGCAGTCTGGAAGTAATTTTTTGCGAAATGAGTGCAAAACATGTTATTGTCAGTATTTGTAATTGTAACAGTCAAATTATGATTTTGTAAAATGTTTATGCCTTGCTTACTAAAAGCTGATTTCTTAATTTATCATTCTTTCTCCCATTTACCAAGTAAGATACAGAAAATATGTCTGTGTCTAGGTTTAGGTGCAGTGTCCTGGTTCTCCCTATGATACTCCACTAGGTGGGCTTCTAAACCTTCCCGTGGCTAGGACTCGCAAAGCTCTGTAGCTGTCATGCTCTGTAACGGGAAATGGAAGGGAGATGGCAGATTCTGAATGTGCCCGTTAGGTATCTAGTGTACTAGCAGAGACCAATGAAAGGCAAGCTGCGTATTCCCTGGAGCTTCACTGAGAGAGCTGAAAAAAGGGCAACTACAAATATTTCCCTTTCTTCCAAATTCTGTCTTTTTCATTTTATTTTGCTGTCTAGTTCCTTGCTAGGGAATGACCTCCATTCATCTGGAAGCTTCATTCTTACACCTTTTATCATGTTTGTTCTGTGTCTCCTTGTGACTTTGAGCTATGCCACTATTTCTGCTGTGGCTGGGAGGGCTTCTGGATGTAAATGCTGAGGTTTGGGATTTTGTGTGTGGTGGTGGGTGTTTGGTTTAAACCAATTGTTCAGGAAAGCGCACTTCTGAAGTGAAAGCCTTTCAGGTGGGACTCATGCCAGCTTTCTACTTACTGACCCAAAAGTAACCCCTCTTTCATTGGAGACAGGGTAGCCTTTGTCCTGGCAGTACCTTGCGATCAGACAGAGTGGCTCCATAGCTATGGGCTGGCATCTGTGTTTGGCATCCCTTTTCCCTCAGCCTCTTATGAGGGCTTCCATATGCCTGGTCAGTACGTAAGCCCCTGATTACCTCTAAATGTAGTACATTTAAGAGAGGGGTAAGTTCTTGCTGTGTTCTCGTGACTACTACTCTGTTGAGAAGTATGTACCATGTCAGGATCTGAGCAGAGAGGTGTCTAGGATCTTCTGAGAAACGTATGCACAGGCTTGTGGATGAGAAGAAATGTGTTTGTTGTTCCCATCCCTGCAGCACATTGGTGGGGTGTGTCACCTGTGTCACTTCAGTGCTGTGTCAGAACTGTGTCTAGCTCTGATGCTCACGGGCCTCTGTGAACATAATGGATGCAGAGCTCCTGAACTGAAGGCTGCTGGATCATTTCTGATTTTTAAATGTTATTTTTCCTAGCTGGTGGGAACTCCGTATTACATGTCCCCAGAACTCTGCCAGGGTGTGAAATACAACTTCAAATCAGATATTTGGGCTGTGGGCTGTGTCATCTTTGAGCTGCTTACTCTGAAGAGGACCTTTGATGCTACTGTAAGTCTGCAAACCAGGATGGACTGAGTAACCTTATTTTTTATTGCCCTGAGATTCACACTTGGCTCATAGCTTTCTTAACTCACGTTTTTCTTTCATTGTTGTTTAAATCTGCTGATTAAGAAAACAGTGGCCTGGGAGTGCCAACTATAGCCAGACAAAATGTCTGCATGATTTCCCCTACCTTGCACTGCAGGTGCCTCTCTGGCTTCTGCCAAACCCACCCTTGTCTGCAGCCCTGGGTTTACCAGATGCAGAGTACAAGCTGTGCTAATTTGTATCATGGTTGTGAATGAAACCTCCTTTTCTCTACAAGGAGGAAGTTTGTGATTGTGTAGTCTTGTTTTTTTCAGCATTACTATCTGTGAACTTTTTGCTACAGAACGCTGCACAGAAACTTCCAGCCTTCAGATTTCATAGGATTTAACCCTGTTACCGTTTCTCAAAGTTTGAGTGCAAGAGAAGTGTGGTCAAGCTGACATGGAGAGCGTGTAAGGGAGCATTGCTGGCTGGCATATGCAATTTGCCAGCTTGTGCCATGAGATGGGAAAAGCTGCTAGCTGCCGTGGTGCAAGATTTTGTAACCCTTAAAGAGATGATGTGAAAATACCATCCTTTCCTGACTTCCTCTCACCACGGCAACCGAGTCCCCAGTAACTTTGCAGCTGTGCAGTGTTTCAATGACAGTATGCTGTGTAGGAGATTCCATGCAGAGAGAAACCTGTCCTCCCTCCACTGTTAGGGAATTTTGTGAAAATCTGGATGTTGCCATCAAGTCTGAGCTATCAGAGGTAGCATTTCTGCAGGAATTAATATTAGGTTTCTAGAGAACCTACTAGGCAGGGAAGAAGGATGGGTTCTGATCAGAGGAGGAGGAAGAAAATAATGGTGGCCTGTGGCATCTCTCCCCATTGGAGACATTGTCCAGTTCAGTTCCCTTACAGCTGGTTTCTGGTTTCTGCCTAGAATCCACTGAACCTTTGTGTGAAGATTGTACAGGGAAATCGCGCCATGGAGGTTGATTCCACTGTCTACTCGCGGGAGCTAATCCAGATGGTGAATTCCTGCCTTGATCAGGTTGGTGAAATGCTTTTTTAATTTTCAGACACCTCTTCCCAGCTGCCTAAGCCATGGAATTCAAGGGTGAAGGTGAAGGGGAATGACATGCCTGTTTCAGCATGAGGGCTGTTGATGCAGGGTGATTTCTGTGAGGCCTGAGGCATCGCTAAGGCTGGGCTTCCTCCAGTCCTCTGAAAGCATTGTCTCAAGATGTCATTCAGTCCTGCAGGCTCTGGAGGGGTGTTGGGTTTACTCTGATGACAATTATTTCATGGGCTGGCAGAAGCAATTATTTTCTAATGCAGTGCTGTGGAGGTGGGAGCGTCATCTCCGTACAGCCTCTTAAGGTTCTGGCTTTCTGCCCGTGACTCTGGCTTTCTGTAGGGAATTAATTTCTTGAAAGCAAACATAGTATTGATACCTTCAGAGTGTGGAGGTCCCTCCCACACGTACCTGGCATTTATTGCTATTAATTCCAAATACTTGAATTAATTCCTTTCCTTTCTGAAGGGAGTCAGGGAAGGAGGTCCATGCAGGCTTGAATGAGGTCTTCTGGCCCAAAATTTCATTGTAGATGATGAGCATTTCCCAGAGAATGACTCGGTGCTTGCTTCTTTCAGGATCCAGAGAAGAGACCCACTGCAGATGAATTGCTTGAACGTCCCCTTCTCAGCAAACGCAGGAGGTAATCAGATGGTCTTGCCTGATACCTGGACAGGTGTCAGAGAGGGTTTGTGCAGACTAGTGATGTTTATGCTTTTGTAGCAAAGTCCTTAAGTTTATTTGGCCTGGCGTGAGGCAGTTGTTGAAGTACACATCATCCTGTTTAGGAGAGAAGTGCATTCTTGCTGTCTTGTCTTCTAATAGATCCGTATGTTCTGTGGGCGCATGAGTATGGTGAGAAAGGTCTCTGCATCCTTCGTCTGAGAAGCTGTTGTATTGAGAACCTTGGGGCATCCCTTTCTGAGGCTCCTTTGAGGAACGCTGGTTCCCTCTCTTCAAATCTCTGTGAATGAAGGGTTACAGAGATCCTCCTGTGGTCATTGGAAAAGGCCTTTCAAAATATACATATCATGCAATATAGAGACCCTCGCTTTCTCCCTTTGTTGCCTCCCTCTTTGGAAGACAGTTGCATTGAAACTGGCCCATCTCAGTTTAGTTTGACCATCAGCCTGCACACACTGTCATTTTATGAAAGGTGGACCATAATTCTGGACTGTTTGGATCCTACATTGGTTGCTTTGGGGGCAGCAGACTTAGTCCTTTATACCAAGATTCTTTTACTTGGTGGTCAGCAAAGTTTGAGTTTTGTCTTGCTGTATGCACTGGTAAAAGCCCAAATCCTAATAATGTTTAGCCATTTAAGGTCATTCTTGCACAATATGGGTATTGGTTGGCTACATTCTGGTATATATGTAGTTTGCTGTCCTCAGCTGTCTGGGAAGTTTGTTAGCTATATAGCACGTTACTTCTGCCCTACTTGCTGTGTATTGCTGTGAGCTGGTAAACAGCTGCCACATTTCCTCCGAGAGGGAGCAGCATTTTATTGGGAAGGAAAGCAGTCTGTGTGTGCTGCTTATCAGTAAATTGCTTTGGGCGTTGTTACTGTTTCCTAAAATGTTTTTTCTCCTTTGGCAGGGAGATGGAGGAGAAAGTCACACTGCTTAATGGGCCAAATAAGCGACCAAGGTAACTATTTGGGCATGTGTTTGAAAGGCCATCTGGAGAGAAGAGCTCCCCAGAGAGGAACTTTGCTGAGAGTGTTAGTCTGTGACAACCTTAATGGAACAGTGTAGTTTAGAAGATCCCTAAAGCTGGGAATTTGACATAGTTGTTACATGGTCATTGTCCCACTTTTTACTCTGCCTTTTATATCCTGCTTGTATGTATGGCTGGAGCCTTACCTCAGCAGGTGTCATACAGCTCTAAGCTGTCATACTGAGGATATAGTCTTTACAGCCTACATATCTGAGGATGTAATGTAAACCACTCCTTTCACACAGATATCCTTGAGCAGGAAGAATATGACTGTCTGTTGAATATTAAATGAATATAAATATCTTTCATAAAACTAAATATATGCAGAGGTTCTCTGCAGTCCCCCGCAGGCCTGTAAGCAGGGTTGCTCCATGAAGCAGATACCTTCTGTGACATGTAGCTGTTTTTCTGTTGATTTGTCAGATAGAATTTGACCTTTTTTCCTCATAAACTTGGAAGTACTATCTGAGCACTTTATGTGAAGTTATTCCAGTTCATGGGTTGCTTGCAGTTTGCTTTGATTAAAACTTCCGTTTTGCAATCTGCTTGTGAATTGATTCTTAGAAGAGGTATACTTTTGCTCTCAGACGGAACCCTGTAATTTAAATAGAGAAGAGAGAGAAGTGAGAAGCTTTTGGATGCTTCTGTATTTTGAGCAGGACATTTCATGACCATTTATAAGGCTTTCATTTTTCACAAATGACAACAGCTCCATGGCCATTCAGGGAAAGCCGTCTTTTAAAATGACATAAAATTGGATTGTAGGCTTCTTAAAATGCTTCCTGGAGGCTACTTTCTCGGCTGCTCTGAGACAGGTTTGATCCAGAGTCTCTGTACAGCAGTTGAGGCTTCACAACTACTCAACAAAGAGAGCAGGTTGTGAAAATAATAACCATGAATGGTTGTGAAGGGGTAAGTGATAGACAATAGTAGGAAAATTAGCGATGACAGTGAACGCAAACTCCTTATTAAAAGCATGTGTGTTTTGGGGGGGGGGTGTCTCGTGCAGGTCAAGTACCATGAATGAGGCTCCCATTGCAGTGGTGACTTCGCGCACTAGTGAGGTGTATGTTTGGGGGGGCGGGAAGTCCACCCCCCAGAAGCTGGATGCCATCAAAAGTGGCTGCAGTGCACGCCAGGTGTGTGCTGGTAACACTCACTTTGCTGTGGTGACAGTGGAGAAGGAGCTCTACACCTGGGTGGTAAGTGAGAGAAACTGCAGGAAGGGGGCAAGGGTGGGAGAGTCGAGTCTGGATCTACTGCTGACCGTTCCTCAGCCTGGTAGAATCAGATGGGCAAGCAGCCTGGAAAAGGAGAAATCTGATTGCAGTGGACACTGTGAGACCATCTGCTTTGGGGCTGACCCAAGTCTCCCAAGGCAAGTGTTTCTGGGAGTTTTTCATCATGACTGAAAGTGTATTGGAGACTTGCTGTGTGCTTGAGGATTGTAGGTGGTGGACTTGTAGGCCCAGACACTGAGTCAAACATCTCTTACTTCCCTTCCTACTGGAAATGCACTGGATGCTTTGTGATGCTCTGTTGGCTTGTATATTTTTGAGGAAAGTTTTCCAAGATCAGAATGTCTGGGATGAGTGACCTTGTTGTAATACAGGTGTCATCTGTGAGGCAACTTGTGAATGAAACCAGAGATGTCTTATACTAAACAACTCTGCTTTTTATGATGAGTGGAAATTCTGTAATCGTTTAAATTGAACAAAAAATTTTGGCATATTATGCATTTAAAACAATTTAATCCAGTTTTCTTGGGCTTAGATGGTCAGTGACATGGAGATATTCTACATCTCCAGGCTTCCACAGGCTTGTATTGATGATACAGAATCTGTAAAGACAGAAAATACTGGTGGGTGGGTGAGGGAAGAAAGAGATCCAAACGGGAGGAGAGCAACTTGATGGACATTTCTGCAAGAATGGCCACTGAAAACTTTCAGCTGGCTATTAATATTTTAGTTTTAGCATCAACGCTGCTCAGAATCAGTTTGTTTTTCCTGTAGAATTGGTCACTTCAGTGACATTTGTTTCATGTTATCGGTTTCTTTCCACCATTAGTATTTAGAAAGGTAGGTCAAAAAGCTGAAGGATGAATTTCAGTCTGGCAGCAAGGAACCGGTTCTGTAGCCTGGCACATGAGAAAGGAGCAGGGGTTCCTCACCAGGTAGTGGCCTGAGACCAGATCACTCTTTGTGAGTGCCTAACTGCCTGAAAGCCTGTGCTGCCATTTAGAATGTCACCTGCTGTTATGCCAAACAGATAGCAATCTTTTCCCTAGAGTAGCTAACACACGTTGCCTTGCTCTTTGCTGTCATTTGTTTGAGGTTCTGTAACTACTGGCACTATCTCTGGAGCTGTGGAAACATCACCTTACCAGATGTTTCTGTCTTGCAGAATATGCAGGGGGGCACCAAGTTGCATGGGCAGCTGGGACATGGAGACAGAGCCTCCTACCGGCAGCCAAAGCACGTTGAGAAGCTTCAGGGAAAAGCCATTCGCCAGGTGTCCTGTGGAGATGATTTCACTGTGTGCATCACAGGTGAGAGCTGAAAGGGGGCCACTGTCCCCTCACTTTGCTGTGAAGATGTTTGCCTTAACAATAAGATCAGCAGAGCAGCATTGTGCACAAAGGAGAAAGCCCTGTATGTTGCTCACCCCTCAGTTTTGAGGATAGCAGGTGCAGTAGTGGAGATAGATCAACATTATTATACAGAGGAAAGTAGTGACTCCCAAGAAGGCTGGGTGTTTTGCTCTTTTGGTGATGAAGCTGGGTGTTGAGCACAGCTCCTTGTGGCTGTGCAGAGTCCCTGCTCTTACCAGTGCATGTGTTACCTCCATACACGCTTGTATTAAAGACAGAGGAGCCTGAAGTCAGGAGTGTAAATGTGTTTGAAACTCTTTTTGGACTCTGGGGGGAAAGAATCACCCAATGATAAGATGTGTATCTGAGGTTTGCTATTTAATTTAGAAAGCTGGAGACCTGGTAGCTGTCTGTAGTTCTAACCCTGCTCATACGTTTAAAGACATGTTAACTGTGGTGGTGTCTGTTACGGAAGAATTTGAATCTTGCTTTACCCATGAAAACAATTCTCAACAAGGTAGTTTCCAGCTTATTTTGCCAGTGCTGGAAAAACAGAGGTTTGACAGAGATAAGCTCAGATGCTCAGTGTGGTGGAGGAATGATTTAGGGAGCCACAGGATCAATTTGTGGGTTTCTGTTAAAGAAAATGGCAGGTTCAACCCAAGATTTTTTGACACTGGTGGCCTGAAATAGCTGCAGGTTGTGGTGTAAGGTCATCCATCTTAGCGTTAACAAGTGCAGACTCCATAGTCTCCTGATGACATTCTTTTGCACTAAAGAGGCAGATGATTACAGAAAAAAGGTTGCTCTGGCCGTGTCCTAAAATATTAATATGCGGCCTAATATAAGCTCAGTGTGCTGACCAAGCTTCCCTTGTGTTCTTCAGATGAGGGCCAGGTGTATGCCTTTGGCTCAGACTATTATGGATGCATTGGCGTTGACAAGGCTTATGGCTCTGAAGTGCTTGAGCCCTTGCAGCTGGATTTCTTTCTTACCAACCCTGTGGAGCAGGTCTCCTGTGGAGATAACCACGTGGCAGTGCTGACCAGGAACAGAGAAGTCTACACGTGGGGCTGTGGAGAGTATGGTAGGTAAAGTCTCCCTGGAACCTAGAGGCCTTGGGGGAGGGCTGTCTGCTATGCCCTGGGAGGCAAAGAACCTTGTTTCTGTGGGGCTTTCTTTCCATGTAAGAATGGGTAACTGGGGACCGAGCCTGTGGGATTTTACTCTGGGAAGGTCTAGGGTACCGCTTGGCTTCCTTGTGGGTAGGGCAGTTGTTCTGTGAGTGGAGGTGGGATACCGTGAGGATTGGCAGGCAATGATGCACATAGGGGAGCAGGTTCCTAGTTCTGTAGGGAGATTCCTTTGGGACTGTGGAGAGACAATACCATTTCTTAGGGACGGGCACCTTGCAAGGCCATTTCTAACGGCTGTGTTTTCACTGATGAAGGGCGCTTGGGCTTGGATTCAGAAGAGGATCACTACACCCCTCAGAAGGTAGGGCTGTGACTACTTCTCAAAACCTGCATGGGCATAAATCCAGTTGAGTTGCTGTTTGGAAATACTAACTGCCTGAGGCTCAGGTGTTTTTTTCTGAGGTATCATAGGGTTTGTGAGGGTTTTAACTTTGCTTCCTCACTTCATTTGGCATCATTTCTCCCTAGGGATCACGGCAGAAGGGCATACCACTCCCAAACCAGCCAGCATCGTGACTTAGAGCTTCATTGCTCTGATCTCCATGATGGAACTGGAAATGCCAAACTTAATGTTGTAGAAATCATAGTAGGAAATACCAAATTGCATACCTCTGGTCTGTAGAGGAAACTCGTATCAGTGCAAACAACTGGGAGTCTTTGAATTTGACATAATGAGTTAAAGATGAGTTGAAAGTAAAACCCTCTTGAAATACAGGGATGGGGTAATTGAGATAATCTAACCCATTAGGGGTTAGAAACCAACAAGGATGTGCCTGGAAGCCAAATATCTGTGATCACACAGTATGACACCCACACAGGACAGACCCAGCCCTGCTCGGCTAACCGGGTCTGGTGCTTGTAGACCCCAGCTGGCCAGGATGCCTGTGCACCACGTTTCTGGTTCCTGTGCTGGCTCACTGGTGTCTGCTCAACAAGGTCTAGAATGCCTTGAATTTCTGCATTGTGAACAGAGTTTCAGTATGCTATAGACTTCATGGTATTATTACACCTTCATTCAAAATAACTGCATTGGCTATGGTCAGTGCCCAGACGAGCTGAATCACTGTTCTAACCCCATATGTTTTCTGTGTGCCAGCTTCTGTGTGGTAGGTGTTGGGATTTTGATTTTCTTGGGATATATTTCTTCTACATAGGTGGATGTTCCGAAGACCTTAAACATTGTGTCTGTTCACTGTGGCTGTGATGGGACTTTCCTGCTCACCCAGACGGGCAAAGTATTGGCATGTGGACTCAACGAGTTCAACAAGCTGGGCCTGAATCAGTGCACATCAGGGATAATCAACCATGATGTAAGTGCATTTGGGTCCCTGGCTCCAGCTATCAGCTGGAGGAAATGGAGGAAATATGAGGAAATGGAGGTCCTGTGACAGTGGCAAAGCATTCATTAGCTTTGTGCCAATTTGTTGCTTCCAATCCAAGACAATGGATACTGGGATTGTGGGAAGAGGCAAATTATTTCTCAGTTTCCCATCTGCCCTATGGGCTTATGTCAGATCTGAGGTAATGAAACAGATACTAAGCTGCTCCAGGGTGACGTAGCCAGTGACAGGGATTCTGGCAATTCTTTACCATACCTGTGTTGGGACTGTCTAGGTTAATGTTGTGGTCTGCCAAGACCTGCTTGAGTAGGTCTTGGCTGATGAATGGGTGTTTTTTCACTCCGTGCTTACCCACGTATCTTTTTTTTAGACGTACTGTGAGGTGCCGTACGCCACTTCCCTTACTTTGGCCAAGCAGCTGTCCTTCTACAAGATCCGTACCATTTCTCCAGGGAAGACACACACAGCTTCCATTGATGGTGAGCCCTATGCATTAAGAAGTGAATACTGTTTGCTGGATTACTTTGCATCAGCTTGCCCTTTCAGCCTGGCCCTTGACATTGAAGGTTGTGCTCTTGGTAGCAAGGCTCAAGCCTGCTCCAGGAACCCAGGATTCCTGTTTCTCGGCAGTGTTGCCTCCTGGCCAGCTGAAGCAGCAACACCAGTTCTGTGTCAGCCTTCCTTTTTTTAAAGGGGTTAAAAAAAAAAAAAAAAGGTTTGGGGAAGAATCATGCTCTGGGCTAGCGGAGGAATTGTTTATGACCAAGTTAGGCTTTGCCCAAGTGAAACCAGTCAGAGGGCTGTGAGGAGTCCCAGCCCCCAGCATCAGAAAAGGGGAGCAACGGGAGAAGGAACTGGGGAGGTGTTTCCAGGCTGAAGCCATTCCTCTTGGCTGGCACTGTCCCCTCGCAGCCAGGGTGGCTTCTCAGGAGAGTCCTTTCCGGTCATGGGCTGTTCCTGCTAGTTCTGTGCATGCATGGCTGCTTCCAGAGTTGGGCCCTCGCTGTGACTGTCTCGTCATTCCTTCTCTCAGAGCGAGGCCGCCTGCTGACCTTCGGCTCCAACAAGTGCGGACAGCTTGGTGTTGGGGACTATAAGAAGCACCTGGGAATTAACCTGCTGGGAGGCCCCTTGGGGGGCAAGCAGGTGATCAGGGTTTCATGTGGAGATGAATTCACCATAGCTGCTACTGACGGTGAGTGGGTCGTTGCGAAGTTGTGGTGGGTTCCTTTGAACTAGATCTGCAGGGTGGTTAACTGGCTCCCACTGAGCATTTCCTAGACTGCACCTGTAGCACTGCACTGAAATAAAGAAATCATTCTGGACTGGGGCTGTCTGGCCCTGTTAGTTGTCCCAGTGCAGCGCCAAGCATTTGCTGTCCCTGGGGCTGCAGAGTGCTGGCTTGGTGGCTGCCTGCTAGATTCATTATCAGTTTGTTCTCCCACTGTCAAAATGGAGCTGGTGGATTAGATACTTTGGGATAGCAGTTACAGCAGAGAGGCTGTGATCCTTGTAGCAATTATAGGCTGAGAGGGAGCGAGCCAATTGAGATTTCTGAATCTCTCTTTCCTCAGACAACCATATCTTTGCCTGGGGTAACGGCGGGAATGGGCGTCTGGCAAGGACTTCGACTGAGAGAGCTCATGGCTCGGATATTTGTACCTCATGGCCTCGGCCAATATTTGGATCATTGCATCACGTTCCAGACCTGTCGTGCCGTGGCTGGCACACTATCATCATTGTTGGTAAGTGTGAGTTTAGGATGAAATTTTGGGATTTTGGTTATGATCATGTATTGCTTGCCAGGACATAGACTATAAGACCTGCCTGGGAACAGGCCAGGTTGCTGTGGGGGAATGTGGCAAGCTGCTCTGAGCTGTAGGCCTGCAACATTGGGTTTGTTGTGTGCTGTTGTAAGAGTTGTCTTGCTTTCTGTGTGGCACTCTAACTGAAAGCATGCTTCTCTCCTTCCAGAAAAGGTGTTGAACTCTAAAACAATCCGATCCAACAGCAGTGGCCTGTCCATTGGTACTGGTGAGTAACCTGCCCTGGGGAGCTGTGGCTTAAAGTCCATTTAGTGGTTAGTTTCAGTGGGTGCAGTTTGGTCCTGCCGCATGGTTCCTCTGTGTTTGAAAGGCCTCGCAGAAGAGTTCAAACGGAGGAAATGTAGTTGGTGCTGTGCATGGGAAGGGATAGCCCACAGCTCAGAAAGAGAGAACTGAAACAGAGGAGGAAGAATATGGATGCAGCGAGGCCTTTGTAGTTGAGGAACTTCAATTTGACAAGGAAAACCTGAGGGGAATTCACTGAGGGGAGCTGATAAGGGAAGGGGGGCGATGGGGCAGCTGCTGGAGAGATGGAGTCCAGTTTCTTGGGCCTGTGGGAGGGTTGGGGCCAAGAAGCTGCAGAAGGCTGCTGCACATTGCCCTTTTGGGGAGGCCTGCAGGGAGTGTTAGGGGATGAGCTGTTGAGGTAGATGCCGCTAGCACGTGCTCTCACCGCGGCCATACAGCCCACATTTCTGCATCTTCTCTGCTCCAGCTGAGGTTTGGCAACAGGAATAGCAGAGGTGGGGAAAGTATAGAAGTTTTCACTCCTGTTTGCTAGTGGCTCAGAGCTGCACAACTGGAGGAGGAGAGGAAGAGGATAATGAACAGGAAGCGGAGACCCCCAATCCCAGTGGAGGCTTTCGGGGAACCATGGAAGCAGATCGTGAGTTGGGGGGCTGGATCAGCACCACAGAAGCTAAGGGAGGCAACAGTGCTGACAGCAGCTCCTGCCCTGGCTGGCTGCGGAAGGTAATCTGGTATCTCAGAAATGTCTTAAAATGGGGATCTAGGCTGGGGAAAAGCCAGTGGCTCCTTCCACCTTTACAGGATGCTCTGAAAGGTTGTCAGAGCTGTGCTGCGTGGGGAGCCCTTTAGGCCTCCCTGCCTTTTTTACCACAAGAGGGTGTTGGTGCATTGGTTGAGGAGATTAAGTCAGCTGCAGGAAGGCAGGCAAGCCTGACAGTGCTGCTTTTGTGTATCCAGGAGCTGGAGAATGCTGAATTCATCCCCATGCCTGACAGCCCCTTTCCTCTGAGCATGGCATCTTCGGAGCCCGAGAAGGAGACTCTTCCTTACCAGAAACTTCAAGGACTCAAGGTGGCCTCTGAGGAACCTGTTGGATTAAACAAGCCCAAACCAGACCCCTGGGTAATACTATCCAAGTGAATGCTTGGCTAAAAGCTCTTGGGGACCATAAATGGCAATGTTTGAATAATGGGGAGAGCTGAGAAGAGGGTGTTGGATTGGCCTGATTCATCTGGATGAGGGAAAGGGGGCTGTTGATAATCAGAGATGATGCTGCAAAGAGAACAATTCACAGGAATCTAGAACACAGAGCTGGGGCTTGGTCAGATTGAAAATAATGAGATCAGTTCTGTGGAAAAATGCAGTTAATGCAATTGGAAAAAAAAGAGAAGCCTAGCAGGAGATAGAAATTTAGAAAGCAGAAATTGCTGTGAGATGGGAAGAACAACTGATACAGGAAATCACCGAGAAATGACAACCTGTGAGCCTACCTTATTCCATGAGTTTTCTGACCCAAGAGGAGGCACAGATCCCAGGCTTAGGGAAAGGGAGGTAAACCAGATGGATATTGGTGATAGGAGGACAGGAGCAGCTTTCCCAGAAAAAGCCAGGAGTGGCTTTGTACTGAAGACATAATGACTAGTAGCTTGCTGACCTTGGCTGCTAGAAGTTTGGGAAGTCGGGAAACAAGCTGGGGTGACGCTTTCTGTGTATGGTTTCTCCTTGTGGCATATACAACTCCTGGCCTTGCACTCAAACCTGGCCTGACTTCCCTTTGTGTCTCTGCAGCCTACTTGCCTGAGTCCAACCTTGCCATGCGGTGAAGGGAAGGCCGCATCTCCTGTTGCGGGCTGCATGTGCAGTGCTCTGCAACTGGAGGTGACACACCTCCGAGGCCTGGTTTTACAGTGTCTGGATGATCAGAAGAAGCTGCAGCAGGAAACCATTCGTCTGAGTGCCCAACTCCAGCAGTTCTGCAGGGGGACGGAGGGAATGCAGCAGGTGAGGACCCATCACCTGGGTGTACATCCATGCTTAGGGCTCGCTACACTCCTGCGTAGGTTGTGGAGGCTGTGCAGGAGGAAGCGGCTCTTAACAGGCGTTTCTCTTAGAGCAGAACGGGGGGACTGAGCGTGGTGCTTGTCTGTTGCTTGAGCTGCTGATGCAGGCTCTAGTAGTAGCAAGAGGAATGAAGCTGAGAAGACAGTTTCCTGTGAGGACAGCCCAGTCCTTGAGGGACCTGGGATTCCCCTTTATTTCTCCTGGTGAGCAGGGATGGGCAGTAAGATGTCACGGAGAGTCCCAAATGGCTGTGGAGAATAGGAACTGTCCCTTGTGCGGCTCCTAGCTTCTTTGCAGCTAGTCCTAGAGCTGTTTGGATAACTGCTGTGTGTTTCGGCAGGTGGAGGTTCATTCCAAAGGAACACAGACAGCCAAAGAGGAGATGGAAATGGATCCGAAACCTGACTTGGATTCAGATTCCTGGTGTCTCCTGGGAACGGACTCATGCCGCTCCAGCCTCTAGTCTCCTGAGCCCACTGGGATCCATCTAACTTCACAGCACACTAACCGAATGCAGAGAGCGGCTTTCCTGGCTTCAGGTCACTCGCAGACAAGGAGCGAGGCCGGAGGCTCCAGAGCAGCACCCATGTACGTTTGATATGAACTAGGAGTGAGTTTGAGAGGGGAAGGGCCCCTGAGCTCTAGGCCAGCTCAGTGATTGAAGCAGCAGCAGCTCCTCTTTGTACCTTATCTGTCAATTCTGCACGTCAGGCAGAATGGTCCCATTATGGCGATGGCTCCAGTAGCAGCTTGTGGCCCCTTCATTGTTTCACTGCTTCTTGGGAGCTGCCTTTGGGACCTCGGTATTCATCACTGCATCTCTAGATGAGAGGAGGAGGTACATTTTGTACTGAAACTGGCTGAACCCTAAGACTCGCCACCTTCACTTCAGAGGGGTGAAGGACTAGGATCCTCTCCCTACCACATGGTAAGGCCCAGCTGGTGAGGCTGCTCCCCTCTGCTCAGGGGCAGAGGGAGCAGAGAATGTCTCATTCTGGAGGCAGTGGAGATCTTCCTGTTAGGGAGATAATGGTAGACAGCATGTCCCTGGCCTCGAGGCACAGCTTCTGGCCATATGGCTGTGTCCAGTGGCATGTATAGACAGAGTTTAAAGGCTTTATTCTGGGTGCCTAGAGCTTTCCAACTTCCAGGCAGTGCACCGAGATGAGTGAATCAGATGGTGTTTCCAATAGCAGTAGCAGGGACTGTCTGAGATGGGATCTTTGGTTCTCTGTTTCAGACCACCTGCTTCCCAACCAGATGACAAGCACCTGGCCTCAGACTAAGTCACCCATTTCTTGGTCCAGCTGTTCAGCTTGGTTTGGGTGCCAGAGCTTCTGGTTTCTTGGCATAAGCCCGTAGCTGCTCCCTGCTTGGCTTCTGTTCTGCTCAGCCCCTGGTGCCCACGCTCCGTGTGGGTGTGGGAAGAATCAGTGTTTTTCCACTCAGTGTTTTGATGAAGCTGGAATGCAGCTTCGTACCCAGAATAGGTCATTAATTCTGTGGTCACAGGATGCAGCCTTCCCCAATAGCCATGAATGATCGAGTCTGTCTGGAATTCACCTTTCTAGAAATGAGAGGCTTTCCCAAGAAAATTGGAGATGGGAAGAGGCATGGTCTGATGCTCAAGATTTCCTCATTTCCTGTTAGAGAATGAGGTTATTTTATTCCCCTTAAATTTATTAGCAAACTGACTTTGAACTAAGCTTTTGGGATTGGTAGGATCCCTGTGAGCAGCTAGCCTCCCCTGCCTTACGTGAAGTCTCTAAGGAGTCCTGAGTCCCTCTCACCTTTGCTGTGAGAGCGGGGTTGTGATTTCATTAGGCTTAAACCATCCCCATCAGTGGCATGTCACTAGAATTGCCTTAGGTCTATTGGAGTTGGGCATCCTATCACCTCTCCTAGACTTCTTCTTTTGAGAGCCTGTTGCGGGGAGCCAGCATTCCCCATTTGTCTCTAGAGGTGGACGCCAAACCATTCTGCTTGTAACTTACACTCCCCAAATATTTCTTTGGTGCCTATTGCTAGCATCTTGGAGCCGAACCAAGTGCAGTCTCTCCAGTGCAGTGTCCACGGCAAGGATTGTGCCGGTGTGCCTGTCTGTCACTACCGAAGGAAGGCTAGGAGGACAGCCCTCCTGGGAGGTGGTGAGCATCAGGCACCCTGGCGCAGCCACATCACTTGGTTGCCCTCGTGACTCTCCTCTCTTTTCCCCCATGTGCGTTGGAGCCAGTTCTCAGGTTAGGGTCCCGGCTTGAAGTTGTTGCCGCGGCTGGAAATGCTGGAGTCGGTCATGTTGCGGCAGTGCCTTTGAGGAGCGAAGAGTTGAGCCTGAGCCATGTCCAATAAGCAAGCACCAAGCTGATGGGAGTCGCTCTGCTGCAGTGCACTGCTATCCTCATTTCTCAATGCTCTGCAGTTGGGAAGCTAGGTGCACAGACTGGATTCCCCTTGGATCTAGTGGAGGATTAGGGTCCCTGACAGAGGATGCCCTGTGCTCCGCAACCTCATATGTGCCTTAGAGGATTCACGCTATCCGGGTTGTGCCTGTTACAGACCACAGATTTCACACCAGCCAGCTATGCAACCAAAAAAGCAGTTTAAAGCCAGCACCTTCGTCTTGGGCTGAAAATGGAAGGGCAAGTGGGCAGAAGTGCCTTTGAGCAGTTTCAAACCCTTTTTACTTCTCCCCTTCTTGCAGTGCTAGCTCCGTATGTGTTGGTCTCCTGCTAGTATCGCTGCTGAGTTGTTATAGTGGAACACAACTTACGCCTGCTCTGACACTCTGGCTGAATACTAGTTTGTCGTTGTCTTTTTTTGAAAGGTTAAAGGGTGTAGTGGTTTGGAGTTTCTGTTTAAATAAATGTTTAAACTCATTCTTCTGTGTTCAGTCTTTTTTTTTTTTTTTCCTTCCCCAAGAGAGGAAGGGGAAATATGCATATAGTCAGCTGGCATTTGTTGTTTGATTATTGTTTTTTGCTTATAGAAAGAGGGCCAAGAAGCTTGCAGGTTCTTTGCTGTGGGGAAAAAATGTTAGGTTCTGTGTGCCTTTATTTAAAAAACAACAACCAAACAACAAACCAACTCTTTTCTCTTGCTGCTGCATCTCCTCCTAGTGACGTCAGGGGACTTTTGTGCGTGTGTTTATTTCAACAGTTGAGTGCCAAGTGGGAAATGAGTCACGGGAAGAGAGAGGCTCAAAGGGAAGAAGTACCTGTTTCTCTCAGAACAGCTTCTACTGAGCATTAAGGCCTCCAGAAGCAAGAACCTGCCTGACACCTGCTCGGCCAACTGTTCCTGTATGCCCGTCTGTACTTAATGCCCGTCACTTCTAACTTTTTATCAGGGCTTTTAGTAAATTGTGAAATGTCTTGAGAGGCAGAGCTGGGTTAAAGACTTAAAATTCACCAGAGATTTGGATACTGAAAATGCAGCATGTCTCAGAGAGGGGGGGTTGTACTGCAGTAGCAGCAGAGGAAGCTGAGCTGGCGTGAATAACACAGCCCGAGTAGTGCCAGGGCCGCACTAACCACGACAGCAAAGCAGCAGGGTCAATCTGTGCTGAGCCTGATGCTTTGGCTAAACTATGACTAAGTTTTAAACCAGTTATCAGAGACTCTGGATACTGCTGTCTGTCCTGTCCTGAAATGATAGCTCAGCAGAGAGGGGTGAACAGCCTGTGGTTATTCCTGAAACAAAGATAACAAATGAAGCCTGGTGACTTAATTTCAATAACTTTTTTCTTTAATCTACAGTTTCGATCCCAGCGTTAGCTGTTTGCCTGTAACTTAAGAGAAGTCCCCAACAGATGGATTTATTTTACAGTATCAAAAGCTTTTCTGTGTGTATCTATCTACCCCAGTTACAATTTGCACTCTGCTGACTTTTAGGGTCCACTAAACACAGTCAGTAAAACGTGGTGCAAGGGAAAGGGAGTTAATACTACAAGACAGGCAGTGGTTCTGAACTACTCCTTGTTTAATTCAGTTACACCTTTCATTAATTCAAGGAGGCTGGCATAAAGCTTCCAGCTTATCCCTTTCTTACCTTGTCACCTTTTGCTATTCTGTATTTTCAAAGCTTTGAAGTTAGAGCATTGGTCTTGCTTCTCCAATCAATTTGGATATAGCTAATTATTTTCCCTTGTTTCAAGCCTGTTTTTTCTCTCCTCTCTAGGTTTGCACACTCCTATACCTGGCTGGCACAGTGCAGCACTGACCCATTCTGGGACGTTCAGGCTTTTCTAGGGCATGCCCAAGGGATTGGGTATCTCATAGGGGCAGAAGCTCTCCAGCTGCTTTCAGGAGTCACGTCCCACCCACTGAAGGCTGGAGTGTTTCTTCATAATCCAGTTTAATCTAGTCGCTTTTTATCCTTTTTCTAGGTTCCTATGAGCTGCTGCTGTGTTACTGAAGGACTTGCAAAAGGAGCTGCTGGAATTTTTTTGTTCCCTTGTTTGCTTCCTGTTGCAACTTTCTCATACAAAGTAGTCATTCTTACTTTGAGAACATAAACCCCTCTGTGACCATTTAAAACAACTTTTACAGAACAGAACTAGTCTAATATATTAAAAATCAGAATCTGGAAAAATAATTGACTTAAAAACGTACAGGAACTGTCACCAATTATAAGCAGATGATTCTCTCAAAGGGTTTATAGGACATCTATTTACTCCAAAAGACCCTGTAACAGTTTGTGACAAAGAAAAATATTTAGCATGAGGCCAATATCACTGAGAACTACCTTACATCTCAAGAAGAAAGCAAAAGAAGAGGAATATTTTTGTCATAATTCCCTACCATTGCAACCAAGATGAAAATAAGCAGATAACTCAAGGAAGGGTGCAAGTTTTAGCAACTTGGCTTGCAGGAAAACTCCAGATTTTTTATAATAAATCTAATTGTTGATTTAACCCTGAACATGAGTGAAACAGCTAGCAGGTTTTCAGATGTGAAGTTATTTAGCATACTGTGGGGGTGGAGGGCATTTGGCTTTCTTTTTAGCTGTAGTTGTTCTTAAACATTTTGGATGGAAATTAAAAAATAATAAAAACCCATCAGAAGCCAAGTTAGGAATCAAGGGAAGGTTGCTGTGGGAAGGGAATTCCTTCCCAGCTCCTGAAAGCGATACACTGAGGCACAGAACTGTCGCTGATCTGTTCTTCGCACTTTATACAAGAAGCCTGGAGATAGGAACAAATGCTCTGTATCGCGATTCTTAACTTATAACTCCTGCTGTATGCTCCCTTCCATGATCTTCTCCCAAGTCCATCTTGAAATAATGTGGGTTCCTTGTCTGTGCTAATCTATTTGGAAAGGTTTTCCATGATGTCACTCTTCTGGTTTGGAAATCTAATTTCCAGTCTGGGCTTACTCATTAGATCTTGTGTGGCATTAAATATTTCTTCTTCCACCCTTTTCCGCCTCTGAGTCCCAGCTATTGTACGTGGTAAGTGACACATTGGGATGGTTGTTCTGTTGCTTCAAGGGCCTGGCTGGTTTGGAGTATCTCTGTTGTTCTATGCACATGAACTGACATATGGACTCAAACAGTAAGTGCCTGCTACTGCTAGCCTTTCTAACCCTCTGAATTTCTGATCCTGAGCTTCTTGTGCTGAGGAAGCATTTAATAATACTACATCCAGTTCTCCTTTTTTAATTCAAACAACATCACACTGGATTTCTAAATGGTAATGTTACAAATCTTCAGCTGGTAAGGTGTAGCCCCAGGATTGTTACCAGCATTCTAGAAAAGCATCCAAATAAACTCTTGGGTGGCTGCAAAACAAGCATGGAATAAACCTACGTGCATTATTAATCTGAACAGTGCTACAACAAATAGGACAGAGCAAGAGCAATGACCAAGGAGCAGCTCTGGATCCTGTCATCTAACACAAATACCAAGGACAGAAGAACATAGC